GCCATGTCCCTAAGAACCTCATCTACCCGTCTTTTAAATACCTCCAGGGATGGCCACTTGACCACTTCCCTGGGCAACCCATTTCAATGCCTGATAAACCTTTCAGTGAAGAAATTTTTCCTAATATCTAATCTAAACCTCCCCGGCACAACTGGAGGCCGTTTCCTCTCATCCTATTGTTTGTTACTTAGGAAACCAATCCCCACCTTGCTACAACCTCCTTTCAGGGAGTTGTAGAGGGTGATAATGTCTCCCCTCAGCCTCCTCTTCTCCAGGCTAAACAACCCCAGTTTCCTCGGCTGCTCCCCGTATGGCTTGTGTTCCAGTGAAACGACTTTGTTCATAATAACATCAGTGAGCTGCAAAATTGTTAAGTATAGACAGAGGAAAAAGATGTCCAAATGCACAGTATTAAGGTACTGAATTCCTTTTTCTGCCTTCATAGATCCCTCTTTTCTTCTGTAAATCTGAAACTTGGTATAAAACCAACACACACACTTGCATACATATCCATTTGAATACTTAAAATACGTACTTTTGTCCATCCTTAGGTCAAAGAAACAGCTCTAGACACTCAGGCAGGCTAGGAGTGAAATGATTGCACACCACTTCAGAATAAGTAGCTATTTGTGTATTCATGTATGTCACATCAATGGCTGAAAAGTCTCAAACAAACTTCTGTAAACTTCGAATGAGACCCTTTTTAAAGTAGAAATCAACAGGTTGTATAGTGCAGGGAAGAAAGAAAATGTTTAGAATCAGAGTTAAAAATGAAGGTAAAGATCACTCAGCCAAAATATTTTCTTCCATTTTTTCCCCTACGGTCTAATATTGCTAAGAAAAAAATCCAAACTCTCTTGCTGGAAACAGACCACAATGGCTTGTGCTGTAAGTATAGTATTGAAGGATACACCTTCTTTGTATTTGTGCTAAGACATTAGGTAAACAGAAAGCAAACTGGAGCCAGAGCTGTGCAAAGCAGTATCCAGACAGAAAGCTCCAGAGGCAGAAAGTATTGTAGAGGTATTTTCTCTTCTTTTTTTCTGTTTCTCTTGTAATATTAGTACAACTTTTTAAGCTTCTAAGTGTTTTTTGGTAGTGAATCAAAGCATTTGTATTCTCTATTGGTGTTTTAAAAGATACTGTGTTCTGACTTTATGTTTAGTGGTGTCAAAGGCAATTGGCTTTTCAGTAGATCTCTCCAGATGCAGAAATAACTTTGCAGTTGTTAATGTTGAAATGAATTTTGGTTGGTTGGTTTTGGTGCCTGAATTGCAGTGAAAAGAAAATAATGCACAAAATTTTAGCTAGATGTCTAGTGACTAATACCTACTACCTGAGAAATACTATGTGTAATTATCATTCTGCTATGATTAGTGAGCCCTGGGTCATCACTGGGCCTATGTATGATTAGTCACATTTGTACAACCTGTGTGAGGGTTACACAACACGATGCGATGTACGTTTCTTAAATAACTGTAAAAATGTCCATAAAAAGCTGTGGCTTTTTTGTATTACTATATTCAGGCTGAACTGGGATCTGTGTCATAGTTTAAACCCATCGCTTTATATCCACTACAGATAAAAAATTTAATCCCTCCTTACCTTTTTACCGGTAACTTATGTATATGATAATTTTTGCGTGTTTACTTGGCATTCTCTTCTTTCACCCCAATTCTTTCAATCTTTCTTTCTTGTTTTTGTTAGTTTGTTTGTTAGTTTGTTTGTTTTGTCCCCCCATACACCTGACCATTTTCTCTGGACTCTATCCAGTTGGTTTACCTTCTCTCTGAACAGTTTTGCTCAAACACGACACAGTGCCACTGGTTGGGCCTCCTACTGGATGATCTTTTGAGGTCCCTTCCAATCCCTAATGTTCTGTGATTCTGTGATTCTGTGCTAGCCGGTAATATAGGTAATATAGGAAGTATTCCTTAGTGTACCGTACAAGTGAAACAGTTTATCTTCCTAATGTACAGTTTGCATTCTTGTACACATATGGTGTAACACTACTTATTAATGTATAGCTTGTGACTGATTGCTACCTCTCTTATCCCTTTCTGGCAGCATGACTGCCTAATTGGTCATTGCCAATCCTACGTCTTTACAAACTAGTACTCCCTGTCAGAACATCACGCTTGTAAACACAAGTGCATTGCAATGTGTTTTCTCCTACAGTTAATTTCTCTTATTTGTCAAGAGCATTCTGAATTTGATGTATTATGCAATGTGTTTGCTGTTTGTCTGAGCTTATTGTTATCTGCAGGGTTGAAGGACTGTTCCTTTATCTGAGCCATTGGTGACTTGGGCCATTTCTTGGTTCAGAACAGACCCAGCTAGAATCTCACTGATTATATTTTACTGAGTTTGATAGTGAACGATTAAAACTGAATCTTAAAGTCTGTGGTGGACTTTTTATTCCCCAGGTAGTTTTGGTCTCTCCCTGAAGTAGTTTCACGTTAATTTACTATTGAAAATGTTACGAGTTAATGTCAGTAACATTATTAAAATTAAAATGTATTACATGACCTCCTACTTCTCCATTTATGAGACTTATTGCCCTGTTACACAAACTATATTGCTTTTTATTTTTGGCATGTTGGCTATTAGCTTTTTTAACCATCACTGACCTTTTACGAATAATTTATTTTTTCATTTATTCTAGAAGATTCCAGAATTGGTCTCTTCCTTATTTCCTGACTTTAAAGATGAGCACTGTGTTCACCTCTTCACACATTTCTTACACAACTTCTGAGAGTTTTCAGAGGAAGTTAACAGCTCTGAGCTTGCCTCACTCTGTTCTCAACGTGTCTTCATGTGCACTTCCTCAAGCCCAGCTGTCACTATAGATAGGACGCATTTCACCTAACTTTAGCTGCCTATGAAATAGCCATCTGTACCTGTGCAGGTTCCTATCACAGTCCAGGTAAGCTTAGTACAGTCAGTGACCAATAGAGAGCTCTTCTGGAGATGTGCTGTAGAGGCATACTTGAGGATGAAGTCAACTGCTCTATTTCCAAATTATTCTCAGACCTGTTTTTTTCCTATTTTAAATGGATTCCTTCTTACTGAGTTTAGTTATTAGTCATGTAATTACAGATCACTCTTTTATGAAGGGTGATGGAAAATGTACTTCAGCCTTCTGCAAGTGAGCTTTTTCTTTTCCTTACAGATTTTTTTTCTTGCTATCTCTTATGTCCCTTGCTTTTTGCAGTTAAATTTGTGCTTTTTTTCTGACTTTGTTTCAGCATCTTGTTGCTATTCTTTAGTACTTGTCCTTAGGAGTTTGACCCGGTTTCTGCCTTCTGTACATTTCCTTCTTGCGTTTCAGGTCACTGAAGACGGTGTTGCTTAGCCAAGTTGATCTCTGACCATACTTCCTATCCTCCTACTGTGTGGGATTGTTTGTGTTTGTACCCCTAAACATAATTTCTTTAAGGAAGTGCCAACTTTGCTGAATTCCTTCTGCTTTAGCCGTGTTTCCCTTGAGAACTTACCTTCCAGTTCCAGGGTTTACTTGAGTCTTCTTGTATAGTGTCCATTTGGTTTTAATTGATCTTTTCTGTTGTTCCTCATCTAAAAATAATATACGTTATCACATCACAGTTGCTCTCAACAAAATTACCCTTACCCTCATATTCCCAGCCATCCTCCTTGGTTGCTTAGCAGGCAGCCTCTTGGCAGGCTGCTGTTGAAGCACTTGGCAGGCTCTGACAGCTGCCGTAGACTGTACGCAGGGAGTGGTTAAATGCTGCTCATTATACCCAGAGACAGACACAGCACATTGCTTTGTAATGTGCAACGGGAGATGCTCACCTAAACACTCCCAGGGAAACACTTGCACTTTTTATCTGTGCATTTAATCCAAACAAAGACAAATACTACATATATGGAGTTTTTCAGATGCTCTCCTGGAAAAGCATCTGTGTGGATGCAGAAACACTTTGCCCAGCCTTGAAGTCCAGGTAAGGAGAAGACAAAACATGTTACTGTGTTTTTCATCATGTAGTTGAATCTCCACAAAGAGACTCTTTGTCACAGAGTTGTTTGTTTTGCTGAGCTTTTAAAATTATTATTTATATATTTAGACTTTCCCATCAGATCTCTCAAGAAATAAATGAAGACATTATTTAGCTTTTGAAATCACACCATGATTCTACATAGAATTTTTTGGCAGTCTGTTAAGAACAGAGGAGTTTAACATATAGCTAGAAGTTGATGCTACAAGGATTCTGGTGCCTGAAATGAAAAGACAGAGGCTTTCATTCACTTTCTGGCTTTGCTAAGGGTAGTGCACATCTTGACTCTTCTCATTTCAATACAGTTTACAGCTGCATGGGATTTTGTCAAATTTCAAGTGTTTAAGCAGAAATTTTCCATGTTAGATATCTGCCTCAGGATAATTTTAAAAGCCTTTGAGCAAAAATAGTTTATAGCTTTTTATACAAAGTGTTTAGGAAACCGTGCCCTTTTACCTTATCTTAAATAGTTCTGATGACCTTTCCTCTAAGTAGTTCAGTTTGCAGACTTTGGAAAAAGCATTTGAAAAATGAGGTTAAGGGAGTTTCTCTTGTATATTGCCAGTGAAACATTTGCTGGACTGAGGTGGCACAGGGGTGTAAACCACCTGCTTTAAATAACAAGGCAAGCACGAGCAAGACTTTTTGGGGGAAAGTGTTGGGGATCACCAACAAAATAGATTCAAAGAATGAAATCAGCAGGACGAAACTATGCCATCATGTCTAGTGTGAAAATTGATGTGGGAGGGGAAGGAAAGGAAAATGTGTCAGTATAGTTTAGAAGATACTAAAATAGCTAAAGGAGCTGAAGTGCAGAGCCTGGGACTAGCTGAGTGCAGAGCTGAGAGCAAGATGCAATGGGGCTGCGTGGGAGGCTTGAAAGAAAAAGGAGAGCCAGCTCTGAAGAGCTGGGCTCAGAAGTGTGGTTGGTGTGGGGGGCTGCGAGGCTGCCTGAGGAGACTGAGGGAGGAGTCTTGCAGTGGGAGCCAGCAAAGAGCTGACTTGTGCATGGGGAAGACTGAGCAGCAGAATCGGTGTGAGATCTGAGGGGCATTTGGAAAGCTGGAAAACAGGATTTGCTGGGCAAGCTGGCTGGGAACGATATGAGGATGGCTTTTGGAGGTGAGGCAAGGATTTGCTGGAGACTGGGTTAAAATTTTGCCTGAGGAGGGGAAGCAGGGACTGGGGAAGAAGGGGTCACACCTGAGGCCAAGGGAAGAGCACTGGTGCCCACGCAAATATACATGCAGCAGGAGGAGAACTCAATGTTGGAGAGCTGCTGGGCAGTGGGGTGCAAGGAGATGGAGTTGGGGGTAGTGGGAGTGGAAGAGCAGGCTGTGCCGATGGTGGGAGCAGGGGAAGCAGGGACAAGCTGTGCTAGGGAGCCTTTTTCTCTGGTGCCAGGAGACTTTTGCATGCCTGACTCTCACCATTTTGTTGCTCTCAGGAGATAACTGACGAGCTTGGATCTCATGGTTGTTGGTGCTGCCTTAGTTCAGAAGATAGCAACCCGCTTCTGCCATTGGTTATTCCATTAGACTGAATGTAATAAAATCGGTCAAGGGAGCTAAGTGATTCACCACTGACAATAATTTTTGTGCATGTTGTTATGATGCCACATGAATACATTTTTCAGAAGTTTTTCAACTCTTGGTTTTTAAAGTAACAAGATATTCCACACAACACGCTCAGTTCACAGGATGGATGTGCTCTTGAGACGCTCTAGGACTGTGCAGTAGGATACCCACTACCTATAACAGATGAGGGAAAGTGTGAAATGAATCATGCACAATGAATCAAGATATTTTAGGATGAGAGTCTGGGATCTTTGTCAGCCACAGTAATTTCACATGGTGTGGGGCACCCACCTTTTCAGAGACTATCATTGACTGTCAATTGTCCATTTTCTGGGTCCTTGAGCAGGCTCTAGAAACCAGATTAAATTTAATAGCAGGTTAAATACTCTGAAAGCTCTCTAGTTTCAAGACTGTGTTGTCAAAAGTCAGCAGATACTTAATCTTATGCTCTTTATGATTTAGCACATGCACTTCAATCCTATTTCCTAAATTCTTCATAATTGATACTGCATGTGCTATAGTATAATGTTTCATAAGAACATGTTTCATGAAAACAGACTTTAAACATAACATTTCTGCTGAGCAGCTTGTCCTGCAATACAGAAGAGACCAGAACAGAAAGGAAAAATAAGCCTAGATTCATGTAGGAAGAGAGAATAATGCATATGGACAGTTTGTCAGTAAGTGTCAGGATGTTTCAGGCAAAGAGGTTATTTCTGTAAAAGAGCAGGCACCAAAACACTGATGTAAGGGCTTGTACAGGATTCCTGTACAGGAGTCTTTGCAGGAGTATAAAAAAAGAAAGAGTTGGGAGGAACGAGAGTAGAAGTATGGTTTAGAACAAAAAAATGTTGGATCCTGAAAATGAGGGTCGAAAGCTGGACCAGAAAGACAGAAGAAGCTGGAGGAGATGTGAGCAAAAAGGAAAATAATTTAGGCAGAGACATTTTGTATGCACTGAAGTGTAAAAAGAGAGAGAGATCATGGCTGTCCTCACTTATGGCAGAGGAGTGCTAGTGGAGGGAATACAGGAAGTACATGACAAGGTGAACAGCAGTCAGGAGGTTGCCTGGGGGTTGTGTGCTAAGCAGCTGGGACTGTTACGGACAGTTCTAGCTATGCTATTTGGTGTGCAATGGCAGGAATGAATGAATCAAGTTTACACAGGGAGGTGAAAAGCAGGAGGGGACAAAAAGGGTCTAGGGTTGAGACAAGGTGGGAAACCTGAATGGCAAGGACAACGTTGATATTACCAACAGTAACTGAGAAGAGAAATATGGGAGGGAACTGTAAGACACAGGAAGAGCCAGAGACCTAGTTGTCAATATAATGAGAAAAGCAGAGGGATTTTGTGAGGCCCCATTTCCAATGAAGCAATCCTTGGAGGAGGCCCCTCATTGCCACCATGGTAGATGCGCATCATGTTCTAAGCTTTTTGTCCATACTTCCTTTTCTCCCCTTATTCCTCCTTCCCAAGTTTCTTAGGCTCATCTAGATTCTCTATGAGAAACTGGCGAAGGTTGCTCTCCTATGACTGCTTTTACAGTGGTTCAAATGGCAGTTGATACACATGTGGGATTTTGAATTAAAATAAGATAAGAAGGCCCCACAGTCCATTGCCAGGTAACCACACAGAGAGGGTGAACTTTGTTCTTATATTATCTGTCAGGCCTCATGTTGTGGCTTAACCCAGCAAGCAGCTAAACGCCATGCAGTTTGCTCGCTCACCCTCCCTTCTCCCTGGTGGGATGAGGGAGAGAATTGGGAGAGAAGAAGTAAAGAACTTTTCAGTTGAGATAAACACTATTTAATAATTAAATAAACCAAACTGAAATAATAATAATGCCAATTAATTGTAAGAAGAATAGGAACAATGATGATCCAGCAATCAAAGTTATACTCTGCTCACAAACAGTAGTCACTGGCCGTATGCCAACGAAAACACAACAAGGGAGCGGTAAGGCTCAGGAACCGAGACAGACCGTCATCAGGAAGTAGAAGAGAAGGGACTGAAGAAAGGAAGTGTCAAACAGGTTGACCTCAGCAAACTCCCCAGTTTATTGTGAATGTGATTTTATGGGATAGAACACATTTTATTGATCTGCTTGCATCATACCCGGATCATCTGCCCTAGGTCGCCTGTCCCAGGGAATCCTGGGGTTTTCCTTCCCGAAAGAAACTATGAGCACACGTTTAGGTAAAGACTGAAAAACAAACCTTGAAAAAATGTAAACATCTGCTGGCAAGAATGAAATGAAAAAACTTATCAGCTACTGTAAGGAAAATATCTCTATTGTAACTAAAGATTTATCAACTTCTTGTGCACTAAATTGAACACTGCAGTTTTCTCAAAAATCCAGTTCTGCCAAAAAATTAAAAGGGAATTCTAAGATTCAATGCCAGCTAAACCAGGACACCTTGAAAGCACTAACAGGGTGCTGACTGTGCCTGCCCAGTCCCTGGGTCTTCCCCCACCTTGCCCAAAGCCCAGGACCCCATGTCAGCCCCCCCAGGGCCACCAGTCCCTGCTCCAGCAATGCCGCAGCAGAGCAGACCTCCAGCTCCCCACAGCTCAGCTGAGCTGGGCCCACCCATGAGCCCATGTCACCATGCCTCTGCCTCATGGTCCGGTCTCTTGGCTGAGCCTGGCCACCATCTCCAGGTCTTCACCCTTCAGGGGTGGTGATGGATCCAGGCTGGTGAGGCTCCTACCATGGTGGCCATGTGGTTGTTGCACTTGGCTCCTGGGTCCCCATCCTGAAGGGAAGAGCTGTCCCTCACTGCTCCCTGAAAATATCAATGGGAAGTTGCCATATTTACAAAATCAAAACCCCATAATCTTTTTGGCTACAACTACAAGAAGTAAGACAGAGACTAATTTTGATCACATAGTAAGAATTTGGTTCCAGTGTGTGACGGCAGTGCATTTAGTCTCATTCCTCTTTAAATGTCTATGTAAATTTATTGGTTAATTCTATATGTTATTTTCTGTACTCATTTCTTTGAATTTGTTCTTTTCCATCTTTACTTCACTGAATCACACTTTGCATCTTTTCCACTCCTATTCTCAGCCTCCCTTTCCCACAACATTATTTGAGCAGGCTACACAGCGTCTCTGTTTCCCATGGCCCCAGCTTTGCCACTTTTTCTCAGGTTGCTGCTCCCTGCCTCTCTGGGAGTTTTTCTGTCAGATTGTGTGCTGCCTTTTCCCATGTACTCTTTTTTTTTCTCCTCACTTTGGTTCTTTTCATCCCCAAATTGGCTCTTCCTTTCACTTGCTCTTTTGTGGGCTGGCTGGTAACAGTTTTAGCACACTGGCAGCCTAACTGGTGTTGGCATCCCTGAAAAGGAGGATTTAAAGTAGTTATTTTAGGTGAAAAATGTAATAGCTCTGTAGGTGCTTCAGAAACTTCTTCCAAAAGAGGGACAGCAGAGGAGAAAACAGAAGTTATTTGTTTGTTAACAGACGCTAATAGTAGCTGGGGCTAGCAATATGACTGATCAGAAATTGAAGTTGAGCTTTTAATACTGCATGAAATGACAGGTGAAGAAAAACCTTGGAAGGCAAGACAGGGGGATGACATGGGATGAAATAGAAAAGGAGAAGCTAGAAGACAGGCATAAGAATGTGGTGTAATAATAATAACAAGCAGTTTAATGAAGGCAGTGAGGAAGGTAGCACTGTGGTTGCTGAGATCAGAGAGAAATCTGATGCAGTAATGAAGGGCTGAGATGACCACGCAGGGAAATAGACTTTTATCTTGTGCCTGTGTTCAAAATGATGACTTTGTACCCACCTCACTGCTCTGCAGTGTGCTATTCCATAGGACATTCCCGTCAGTCTCCTCCTCAGTAGCCCCCAGTCTAGCTTATAAGTTATCTCCCTCCTGAGCTTGTACCTGCTCTCATGTAATACCTTTCAGCCCTTGCTGCTGCAAGTGAGAGGATGTCAAACCCTGGCTCTTGTTGGCAAAATGACACAGATCTGATGGTTTTTCTGGCCCTTGGCTGTCTGCAGCCTGCTCGAGGTTCCTAATCCACTGATTAGGATGATGATTTTCCCCTTTGTGGAGCAGGCCAGCTTGCCTGCTGAGACTCCAGCTTCTGGGGTCTCCTTCTCTCCTGTCCATCCATAGTGAGTTGTACAGGAACAAGGGGGCTGCAGAACTGGGTGAGCAAGGGTCTTGCTTCTAGAGGTGCAATTCACCCTGTTAGAACAGCACATTCAGAACTGTGTCCAGCAAAGCTTGTTTTTCCTGTTCATTTTTTATTCTGGCTGTTTCTGGGGGCTTTCTACACGTCATCCTCTCCTCACCTTCTGTGTACCCATGTACATATCAGTATGTATGTATTTGCAGTTGTCTTTTTGAAGGGATTAACAGAGTTTAAGTACAGAATGGGGCTCAGCGACTGAGAATGTTATCTGTTTCTAGAGATTTTCCCTACCTTCCACTGAGCTGCCTTACTGGTACCTTTTTTTCACTTCTGGCTTCTAATGTATCAGGAACACAAATAAGTATTGTTGTGATCTCATTCCTTTAATCT